CACGGCACTGCTGGGAGGGGGGGCTATGCCCTGCCACCACTTGCCCCCTTCTGCCTGGAGCAAGCCATGCCCACATCCCACCCGCCCCAGCTAGGCAAGCAGCAGCAGGGCATAGCCCCCATTCCAAGCACTGCCATGCCTGCATCCTGCTCCTCCTTCCCCACTCTCCAAGTGCCACACCTCCTGCCCCGGCTGGGTAGCTTGTCCCAACCCCAGCCCCAATCCCTCCCTCTCCCACGCCCCTTCTCTCCCCCCTCCACCCACCACAACAGACTTACCAGCTGGAGGCAGCTGTGTCCAGCATGGTGAGGACTGCTGCCTGTTTAGTCTATGGCCGAATCTCCGAAACTGCACCAAATCTTTGGATCTGATTCAGCCGAATCGAATCGGAACAGTGATTTGAATCTCCAGATTGAATCACTGTCCCTCTGAATTAGCCAAATCCAAATCTGAAGTGAATACTTGCTTCTTCTCTCAGGCCTAGTGTGCGTCACAAATCAGGGTACCTGAAACTTAGGCCCTAGCCTTCAAAGTTCTGGTCTCAGATTTTTCACTTCCATTTATTTAAATTTACAGTCTAAAATATTCACTTCTCCAGGGAAGGGCAGGGTGTTATGAGGAGGAAGGCTGATACCAATGTGCATGATAGAATCTAATTTGACGTGGTCTGGCGTGACAGTAGCACTCACCAGCTTGCTGAAAGCTAATGGCATTTGCATTTTGCTGCCTAGCAAAATAAATAGTGTGCTAGCTCATGCTAGCCAGCTCATCTGGAGAGCACAACAGGGAAGGAGGGATTGTTGGTACACGATGTGTAGCACCGTCTTGGTATTTTATAGAGATTAGCTCATGTAGTTGTTAGAAAGACACTGTATTCTATCTTTTCTTCTAAGTCCTGGGTGAGTTTTATATACTTTGGCTTCCTGTGAAGTGCAAGCCTCATTCCCCAGACATGGATGTGCCATCAGGCTCTAGAGAAAGCATTTGGGATGCTGGAGCTGTTTTAGTCAGAGGAGAGCAGAGAAGCAAGGTGAAAGGGGAAAGTGAGAGAAGAAGGAACTCTGTAAACATGAAATAGGCCCTTGTTGTGCCAGCTTTATATCTGAATCCCATCTGGCAGTGGGAATGAGATCTAGCCACAGTGCTGGTTCGTAGAGGAGGACAGATACATGGTTGTTGTGTACAACGTGTGCTCTTCCTCTCTGACCAAGGGGGAAGTGACAGGATCCGAGGTGACTTACCTCTACCTCCTGCCTCCCAAAAGGCCCTTGACTGACAGGTGGGTCAGTGACTCTACAGTAATTTTCTGAGCACAGTGTTATCCTATGGTAAATGTGAGTTAGCCTACATCCCAGTGAAAATGATGTGAACTGTCCTGCATTTACTATGCGGTAAGAGCATGCATGCAGACCGTTACCATGGAGTAGCAGACACACTGTGAATTCACACCATCTCTTGCCTTCCCATAGCTTCTTTGTATGCTTATATCGCAGGCCCTTTTCCTCTCCAGCCTTTCTGATAACTGTGTCACTATCCTGTAGTGGGCGCATCTACACGTTCTATTAAGGTGCTGTGATGAACTCCACTGCAGTTCGTGTTGGGGTCAGCTGCTCCTGGGCACAGCATCTGCATGTGTGCCCTGGACCGCAGCAGTTTGAGCTGGGGCAGAGCAGCCCTGGGGCTGGCAATGTGTCTGGGGGTTCACCCCCGGGCTCCGGGTAGTGGCTTCGGGGGGTAGAGGGGCTGGCTGGGGCAAAAGGGTGCTACAGTACAGGGCTAGCCAGCGGGCAGCCCCTGCACTTTAGCATCCTGGTGCCTCAGCCAGCCCCTGTTGCCATCTACAGGTAAGTACTCCACTGTAAGATAGTACTGTCCTGATCCGTATTATCTTACGGTGGAATTTATTAATTTACTGTGCCCTAATACCAGCGTACATGTAGATGGTGATACTTTACTGTGGTGCTATTTAGTCAACTCTGCAGTAAAGCGCACATGTAGATGCACCCAGTGTGTCTAAAATATGGCTGCTAAAATCATTTTTCCCTGCAATTTGACCATAGAACTCTCTTGCTCGGTAGCCCCATTCTCTACTGCATTAAGTTAAAACTTCTCATCCTCACCTATCAGGTGACTGGTTCAGCCTACTGTTTAGATCTAATCACGTCCACCTTTCTTTCCTTTCACTCCACAAGAAGTGCCTCTTCCATTCTGGCCCAAGGCACAAAGGTCAGAGAAGCAAATTCAGTAGCCAAGCAACTCCTTATAACAGAGGGGGGGGCAATTAATGAGTTTTAGTGACCTGTCAAGGGCCACATGTCTCTTTCTCTCTCTGTTTCCCTCCCTCTAGAACCGGGATGGAGCTGTAGTTTGCTGTGAGCCCCAGCACTCAGATGTAGACCAGATAGGGACTTCCAGTGCAGTGGGCGATGGCGGCATCAGCTGTAGGCATAGCCATCAGGTTCCAGTGCCCCAAAACGAAACCTGCTGGTGGTGTCCACAGCTGACACCACCACAGGAGAAGCTCCTGCCTGGGCCCACAACTGATGGCACTGGCAGGTTCTGAGTCTAAGCTCCAGGTGGGAGCTTCTGCTGCACCAGGAGGGCACTAGCATCAGTTGTGGATGCTGTGGGGGGTGGGAGGGGTTCTATGCCAAGGCTCCTGAACCCGCTGACGGTGTCCACAGCTGACGCCACTGCCCGCCTTCCCACTACAGCTGAAGCCCCTGCCCAGGTCCATAGCTGATGCTGTTGGGAGGAAGTGGGCCTACCTGGTACAGTGAAAACAGACCTGCCTGCCCACCTGGCACCATGTGGCAGCCAGAGCTGGCACTGCTGGCCACCCATGGACCATCTCCAGTGAGCTGGCACCCGTGGACCAGATCAAATCTGTTGACAGGCTGCATCTAGCCCATGAGCCCACCCCTGCCTTATAACCTGGCTGGTGGCTGCTATCCTCTTAGAGCAGCAGTTGTGAATTCAGAGCAACTTGGCTTTGCTTCATACCTCACTTGGGAGATTCCTCCTTCCCATTAAGTTTCAGACCCTGTTGTGACCAGGCTACTTGGGCTTGGCCTTGGGGAGGAAGTAGGGAAGAGGATTATCCCAAGAGGGAATTTGCTGGATTTATTCCAGAGGAAGTTTTGTATTTTCATTGTGTCATATAGATGTGTAAGGAAATTCTGACCTGCACCTGCATAAGCAGAAGCGACTAAGTGAAGGCTGCAGTCTCCTAGCTCTTGATTGTATGGCATGCAGTTCTGGTATTTTGTTGTTTATGTTGTTCCATTTGTTCCTGATAGGTCAGCCCTCCTGGACACACCATCGGGGCGCTGAGGATCCTGACTGATGCATGTTTACCTTGACCTGACTTCTGGAAAAGAACAAGTGCTGCTCTGAAAGTTTGCTAGTACTGAGGTAAATGAGGTAGATGACATATCTGACCCTGCGGGCTCTGAGATCAGGCTTTGGGTGGCTGTTCACTACACCATTTGGGGATGACGTTTTCTCTGGAGTGGCTGCATTGCTGATTCCTACCACAGCTGTTGGGGAAGATTTGCATTCATAGATTCATAGATGCTAGGGTCAGAAGGAACCTCAAAGGATCATTGAGTCCGACCCCCTGCCAGGGACAGGAAAAAGTGCTGAGGTTATGTGACCCCAGCCAGGTACCTGTCCAGTCTCCTCTTGAAGACCCCCAAGATAGGGGAGAGCACCACCTCCCTTGGAAGCCCATTCCAGATTCTGGTGGCCCTAACTGTGTAGAGTTCTTTCTGATGTCTAGCCTAAACCTACTGTCCATCAGCTTGTGGCCATTGTTTCTGGTTATTCCAAGGGATAAACAGAGCATCCTCCTTCCCTCCTGTCCCTCCATCGTTTCGTGCCCCCCCGGGATGAATTCGTATGCTGCCACAAGATCCCCCCTCAGTCTTCTCTTGCAGAGGCTGAAACGGTCCAGGTCCCTCAGCCTTTTCTCATAAGGCCTTCCCTGCAGGCCTCTAACCATACAAGTGGCCCTCCTCTGGACCCTCTCAAGGTTGTCCACATCCTTCTTGAATTGCAGCACTCAGAATTGGGCACAGTACTCTAGCTGTGACCTGACCATTGCTGCATAGAGGGGGAGCATCCCCTCCCTGGACCTGCTCGTGATGCACCTACTAATGCATGACAAAGTGCAGTTACCTCTGCTAATTACTTTGTCACATTGATGACTCATGTTCATCTTGGAGTTGGCAACGGTGCCGAGATCTTTTCCTGCTGCTGTGCTGCTTAAAAGGTCATCCCCCAGCCTGTAGGTCTGCTGGTGATTCCTTCGCCCTAGGTGCAGCACCTTGCACTTGTCCTTGTTGAACTGCATCCTATTGATCTCTGCCCACTTCTCTAACCAGCAGATGAATTTCGTTTTAAAGAGAACTGAAGTTTTGGGGAGATCAAAATTGTTCATGACTTTAAGTGAACTTGCGCATATATTTTCTCCTGGAAAAAAAAAGGGGGAAAAAGTCCAGAAAGTCTAAATATTGCATTTTAATACTGCTGAAACAAAATGTTTTGTGTTTTTTCTCCCCATTTCAAACCATGTTTTTTTTTAATTGATGTAAATCTAAAAGAGCATTTAAAAAGAGTCCAAATACAAATAAAGTATTTCACTTCAGGTGGGATGAAATGTTTCAGGTTGATTGACCCAAATTTCCATTACATTTCCTTCCAATGTTTGTTTGTTTTCTTGCCCTCAAGAACCATCACTTACACCACTCTCACTGTGCTGAATCAAGGAAACTGGAGCTACAAGACAGGAGAGGGGCGTAGTTTCCTAGTTTCTAGCTAATGCAACATTGCTCCCTGCAGTATGCTCCCTAGTCTTGTTTTAAATTATGGGATTTCCCCTGTTTCCCTGGGGAGACTAGTCCAAAGTCTAATAGAATCAATCTGTTTATTTCCTTCTTAACCCCTGACCATGGCAGGCACAATTAGTTGTTGGTGATGGGAGGGTTTGGGTTTTTTGTGTTGTGAAGGCTGCACATACACACAGCTCCCTGTTTAAAAGCACCACAGGGCTGCATTGTGTGTCTCGTCTAGCAGGTAAGTTTATAGTTTTGTATATGTGAAAGACCACAAACTTGCCTGCTGTCTGTCAGATATTGTGTGTCTGCCCATAGCTACTGGTCCACCTAAACTACTCTGCTCTGTGCCACAAGCCCTTCAGAGTTCTGCTCAGTAATGTGGGAGCTTTGTCACCTACCTTTGTTTATGGCATAGAAAGGCAAAGAATAATGTAGTCAGACACCAGGAGGAAGGACAGCATCAAGGAAGAGAAATATGTTTTCTCCCACTGCAGACTGGTTGGGCCAGTTTTGTCTCTGAAGCTTAAACACTTCTTGACTCCATTTAGAACCTAACATCATCTGTTTTGACATTGCTGAGGGATCTCCCTGTGTCTCCCCAGTACAGTGGCCTTTCTTAGATGAATGAAGTCTGTGGCCTCTTTCAGTGTAGAAACCTGGAAAAGCCCTAAATAATCCTATTTTGGTTTATCCAAAAAGGGCAGAAGGAAGGATCTTTCCTGAAGTCCTCACCAGGTTTTCAGATAGTCAAACAAAGGAGGGGACTTGCCTTTGGAAAACAGTTCCAATGGTAGGGAGGTTTTGCCTGCTTGTCAGTCCCCATTTTCCCTTTCCTAATTCTGTCTTTTATCCTTTGGGTCCCTTTTTCTGTGCATGAGGGGAGAATAGTCCTTTCTCTCCATGGAAGAACAGCAACATTTTACTCTTTGTAAATCTGGGACCATCTGGGCCAGAATGGTCAATAGCTTGATCAATCACATACTGTCAGAAGCTCCTGGGGACTAGGAGGATAGGGCCTGTCTGCATGGGAACACTGTTGTGAGATAAGTGTTGGTATGAGTTTAAAGTGCAATGGCTATTCTGCAGTAATTCCCTTGGTGAGCGCACACATATTCTGATTCTGAACTAGGATTGCCTTTTCAGATTTTAGGTTACTCCATCAGTAGTGTAACTAAATGAGCTATGTGAGGCACCAGCTCTGGCAGCACTGTACCTAGACTCCTGGCAGCCCCAGGCAAACCTTTAGTATCAGGCCCCCCTTTACCAAAGATAATGGTAATAATAATTTTCAAATTACCATTTTCGGGCCCCCTTTCTATCTGGGCCCCGGGCAGCTGCTTGGTTCACCTATGCCTGTGTCTGGCTCTGAGCTCTGGGAATTGACTTGGAGGGACAAAAAAATAGCTCCTGCTGCTGTTGCTGGCCTGGTGCCACTGGTAGAAGCCCGGCTGCTGCCACAGCCCTATGCACTGTCACTACCAAGGGCAAAAAAATGCCCAGCTGTGTCTCTGTAATCCACTTCCATTTAAAAGCACATTTTTAGTGTGAATCGGGCATGTTCTTATTTTGAAAAATATGGTATAGTTATCATACTGGGCTGTTTTTTCCATGTAGCAAAGCCTAAGCTTTTAAATTGTGATCTCAAAATGATTTATAGACCCAGTCAATTTAATAAATTCTGTGAATTTTTACTGTACTTATCAGAACAGTATTTCTTAAGCCTGAGGGATAGAGTTACATGGATTTAGTATGTTTGGAAAGGAAGAAGTTTTGTCTGTTAAGCCCAAAGCCAAATTACCCATTGTTTTTAAATGCTGTAATCACTTATAATTTCTCTTCAGCTGTCTTTTCAGTGGTCTGCTGCTTCATGTCTATTTGTAGTACGTTTTAAAGGAGGAGAAAGTGGTGACTGAAGCAAGGTGTAATGATCCATAGAGCTTTACAACATCTGCAGCTGGCATTTTCCATTTCTGCTTTCCTTGGCAGACTCAACTCCACCAGGGGTTTCAGCTACCCTGGGAAGAAGAATTGGGTAGTAGATGTCACATGTACTCTCAGACACTCTCTCTCTCGTACATTTATCTTTGTGCTGGCTTTTAAAAGGACTGCATTAGAGTTGATGTTGTGGAGTACAAGTCACACTTCAAATTAAGATCCTGGGGATAGTCCTTTCAAAAGCTGCATTTCTCAAGCTGGGAACTATTGACCTCTTTCAGTGCAGACACACAACCAAAAGGAAATGGGGGATGAGGGCCGGCAGGGAATTTTTTGTTTTTACTTCACCTCTCAGGCTGAGCTATTGTTTGAGCTTCCACACAGGGCTCTGCTTACCAATAGGAAAAGAAGCATTACACTAAGTTCTTTTAGAAAATTGATATTTACTGTCAACTTCTCTTCATGAGATTTGTTCTGCTTTTGTGCATGGAGTATATGTACAAGAGGAATCAAAGTGGATTGTGCAGTGCATATGCCTGCCTTGGTGTATGCTGTGGATTTCATCTAGATGCTCTAGTTGCAGTTTACTAGATAACACTAAGTGAAGAAAATACTAAAACTCAGCTGCAGTGTTAGGGGCAAAAGTCATCAGTAGGGATCCTGGTTTTCTCTGATAAAAAATCGCAAATTCTCTGATTAGAAGCTCAAAAAATGAAACACGGCTATATATATATACACGTATTAGTTGACCACAACGTCTTATTGATATATTTACAATTTTAAAGCAATTTGGAAGCCTACCAATGCCTCAATAACTATAATAAAATAAATTCTAAATACCTCTAACTTTTGGTATTTGGTTTTGGGATATTTATCAAAGAAAATCTGAACTTCTTCTGTCTCCTTAGCTCACAGAATGCAGGTCCAGGCACTTCACTCCCAAGTCACAGCCTCCCAGCCCTGCTGGTGCCCCTCACTTCCCTCCACAGCCCCCACAGCC